TGGAACTGAAACAAGCGACATCTCCATTGGGCGTTGGGTCTCCTGTGACGTCAGGCCACGTAATCTTGTAGATATTGAGCGACGTTTCAGAGGAGCGTACTGTCTCTATCGTCGGAGCGATCTGTAATCAAGCAGGTGGTACGCATAGTTACCACCGGACTTTGAAGAAATTAAAATCAATCCCTGCGGCCTAAAGAGAGACAGAAGGAACTCAGTAGGATGTTTGGTTCTCGCTGTAGTTGAGCTCGATGGCAGCCATCTTAGAAAGAGTTGAACACGTGAGCTCCTTCATTTGGCGCTTTGGCGTAAGCGCCTGTGAGTGTGAAAGCGTGCGTTGGGTGCGTGGACTCGCCTTATCTTTCGATCTCTGAAATAAGACCCAGCTCGTCCTGAATCGACAGAGTCAAATGACGCAGCCACGCGAGCCGCGTGTGAAGGAATGTGGCCATGAGCGACGACACTCGAGACCTCTAGCGGCGGAGGTATGAACTAAAGGGCGCCAGGGAAACCATTTTGTTTCGGCGTGTTGCCAGAAGGTCGCTACCAGTCGAGCTCCGCGCTATTGGTCGATCTCTCTGCGTCTCTCCTCCCATTTTCCACCTTTGTCTTCAGTCACATCTCCTCCTTTATCCTTATAAGGACCTCTCCCTCCTCCTCAGCATCTTTTACCTCTCCTCCCTCTGTCTGTAGACAGAGGGTAGCCTTCGGATGAGGTAAAATGCCGATTGTTTCAACAGAACGGAGACGGGCCGTTTCGAACAAAAGTGGAATATAACTCAGCTGTTTGTTTCTTACGCTCTCACGTTGTGGGAGATAATTAAAACGACTTCTCGAGAAGAAAATTTTCTTTGCCCGCTCTAACGTATGTCAGCGGTGAATTCCCGTGTTATTCTCTTATTATGATCATTCAATCATTCATTGGAGGTATAAAGGATAATTTATAGGCTGTAATATTACCTAATTAGAACACTTCTGGAGCCGTATTACAGGACCAGGGTCAGTTTATAATTCTACTTACAACAATATTTGTCTCTCTGTCAGATGCATTGTCATTGGTTTGAGTCGTCTGTCCATTGCAATGTTTCAAAATTTCTGGTTTTAGCAATTCAAAGTTTGTAAGAGATAAACGCTGAAGATTGAGGCAGTACGTCTTTCCGAAACGATGGTTTGTACCTACAAATCCACACGGCGTTATAACCCACATCAGCTGTGGCAGTTACGTTATAAATTGTAATTTCAAGTGGAGGGCTATTAGTTTTATTTTAAAAACTTAATCTCCCTAGTAAGATTTTATAACGTGCAATCTGAAAATCAGAAAGTTCGTTATCATGTAATGTTTCCTGTCCTCGAGTCGTGATTTGAATATGAAAAGAAATTAATAATAATTTAATTCAGTTCCGTCCAGTTCCTATCCGAAGGTGAATAACATTAATATAATATAGATTACGCCTAATGTACGATTCGCCAATGAAAATGACCCTTTGAATTATTCAGATTGATCTAAATATTATTTAAGAACTCAGTCCGTACCGCGAAGTAAACACGACACTTCACCATTACGTAGATCAACTGGTTAACGCTCGTTTTAATCAACCCTTTGATGCCGAAGCTCGCCTAAATAACATTTAAGAAATCAGACCGTACCGCGAAGAAAACACAGAACTTCACCATTACGAAGATCAAGTGGTTAACGCTGTTTAACGGTGCCACACGCAGATGTGAATGTGTAAAATGGTTGAGCTTTGCGTATCACTTTGTGTGCGGACGTCATGAACATCACGGATCATTAAGTATCGTTTTCTGGACACAGGATCGACAGGATTTGAGGGAGAGAAGAGTAAGGTTGTACGGGATTCGGATGAGTAAAGATGGGTTAAGCTTGGTCGAATTCGAGGGTTGGATTCAGCGGAAAATGACGAGAACGGGGGGG